GGAGGGCAGCCGTGGTCTCCTCAGCAGTAATGAGGGATGGAAAATAATTCCAGTAAGTAAATTACAGTAGCTCATATGTCTGCAGTCTTAATAAGTTCTGTTTCTAAAGCATAGGCCACAAATTAGTTTAGTGAGGGGAGGGCATCTTTCATATATATGCATTCATAAATATTATAATTTCCAAAGAATAGTTTACCTAATATGATTAGGTGTGGATAGGACTGCCCGATATAAACATTTTGGGCAGGAACAGCATGGAGGATGTCAGGTGAGGCTGCAGCACCCACTTCAGGGACGATTCAGGTCTGTGCTCCTGCTGACGCTAAGGTAGCTGAAGACTGAGTATTTTATATGGCTCGGTGGAGAGAGAGATGCAACAACGCATTTCTCTGGTCTCTCTATAACCTCCCAGAGTTTACAAGTAGCTAGTACCAAGAATAAAATTGCAGTGGTGGCTTATAGTTAGCTTCAGAATTCCTCCCCCTGCTCTGTGACTACTGTACGCATCCCTCTTTGAAAGGCATCACACAAAAACTTACCCAGAGGCATTTCTGAACTGAAACTGTGTCAGGTAATTGAGGAATTTTCCGCTGCCCTTTGATGTGAAATGATTGCGGTAAAGCAGAGAGGAGGATCTGCAAGCAAGGACAACAGTGAGGGTAGATACGCGCTCGGAAAGAATCGAAGCCTTTCCATTGACCTTGGCTGAACGCTGCTGGTTCATGCCAGCTGCAAGCCTTACCCTAAATTTTTCTCCCTGGAAAGGAGTTACTGAGTGTCCTTCCACATGCTCCTGGTAGTGACAAAGGTCGGTTGGTGACAGCTATCAAGTTCTGTCTGCCCAGACACAGAGATCTGTGTGGGCTAAGGGTTTTGCTGGATTTGGATGCAGAAAGCCAATGTTGCATTAGCAGGCAATAGAAGTTGTTCTTGGGCTGTCCTCTCTTAAAATGATTAATTATTCAATGGGACTAAAGTGATTAATTATTTAATGGGACTTTTCTTAATTGTTGCTTAGCAGTCCTGAAATAGTGGAAGGAGTTATTTCGGAAAATTGCACACGGTTCTACTAACTGTCAGGTACATTGATTTGCAGCTAGATGGTGGCACCAGCCTCCATGGTCCACCAAATTGGAGACCACATTTCCTTCATGATTTGTATTGCTGGAGCTATGGTTAGGTTGTATTTGAAGAATGCAGGAGAGGAGCCAGGCCCGGTAAGGGCCTGAGGAATCTGCTTGTTATTCAGGTTGAAAGCTTGGCTGGTTATGAAGAGCACACAGAAGATTTGCTCCCTCCTCTGTAACTACTCCGGAAAACAGAAAGCATGGGATCCAATCTCCTTTTGAAGCTCATACACCATTGTTAAAATAGACCCAAGAGTAAATCTGTTGTTCTAAAATCTTCTCTGCAGCTCACAGGACTTCCGGATGTACAAACTATTAAGCTTTGAGCAAAAAAGCAAGAGAAAAACTATAAAGGCCATGCATTTGATCCTAGGCCTAGCGAGGCAGTGTGCTGTAGATGAGTTTGCAAACCTCAGTTCTATCACTCTGCAATAGTCAGAGCTATCAGGCTCTCCTTAATGTGTTACACAAAAGGGCTGCAGCACACAAAGCCTGGAACACATCAGTTTACGGATCCCAAGAGGGTCCTGTGGAGTCTATTACTTTGATGAAGTGGTATTTAAAATTGCATTACCCAGCAGTTGTTTAACCCTCCAGATGTTGCCCCTGTGGAGTGTTTAATACCACGTGAAGCGCTGGTAGGCTAGGCCATAACCTCATGTCCTCTTTTCAGCAGGTCACATCAGGTCTTACTATCTTCTACTAAATCAATACAGGATGACCTGACATAGCAATTTTCCTCCTTTGCTGTTCTTTTTTCCAATAGTGAGTAGAAAAAAACAGAAGGAAAAAAAAAATCCAAAAGGAGAAAGGAAGGAGATCGGAAAGCAAACAAACTCTGAGAAATTTTTGTTCAGCTAGGTTCGTATTTTTTCCCAGTTTGCTCTAACAGCCCAGATAAAACAGCCTGGTGCTGCCATCTGCTGTTTCTCCTCCCTTTGACGTTGCCCACCTTTTTGAACGCATCAGCAAGGAGCAACTAAAAAAGAATCAGCAGCATGAATAAATAAACACTAATTTTAAAGGGAAATAGGCAAAGAGCCTATAACAAAAAAATCCCACTTAACCTATAATTTCTGGCAGCATTTTTCAATCTCTGTACAACACACTAATAGTAATTCCTATGGTCACCAAAAAGATGAGGCATGTCTGTGAGTTCAGTTAATTTTCTTTCCTTATGATCAAGTCAACTTTTAGAAACGTTTATTCAGAAATCTCATATGGCTTACAGGTCAAGGACCTGATGCTCCACAGTGTTTTTCATGGTTTAGATATTTGGTTCCACAGGTATTTGTTTTACAGAGCTGGCTTCCAAAGTCAATTAAAACCAATGGACAGACTTGCTTTGATTAGCGCAGGGCGTTCATTCGATCAGCTCTGCAAAGAGGAAACTTTCTGTCTGAAGGCTGGACACTCTCTAAAGACTGTCTGGGGCTGCAGACCGGGGTGTCAGCAGCTTTTAAGAACCTGAACCAAATCATTGTGTTCACCAGAAGGAATTCAACTGGCATACGACTCGCCTCATCACCCACCATTATGGTACCTAGCTGGGCTGTGGCTCTGCCAGCATCTGCATTAAACAGTCCTACCAGGTTTTCTGTTTTGGAGGGAGAGATGGAAATGAGGAGTGAACTTTTTTTTGTTTCATTTTAGCACAAACGAATTTGAACTTTTATAAACTAAGGGCATTGACATCCAGGATGTTGAAAAGCAAAAAAAGATTTTGCCATTATTACACAAAACTTATTTTTGTGTGAAAACCTATTCGCACTTCTCAGCCAAATCTTTACCAAAGTTTTCAATGGGGCCAAGATTTCAGCCCTTGTCGGCCAGTGTCAGCACAAATGTGGTGACTGTTACTATGATTACATCTATGGAGAACTGGTGCTTAGAACTGGCATCACTTTTAGTGGTTTTTGAGATTCAAGTATCAAGGGTGTAGACATGTATTGAACTCGCTGTGCCAGCACAAATAATCTCTTGACACGACTGCAGCCACAGAAATCAATGCCAGCATCGCTCTATCAAATTTGAAAGGATTGACCACTTCCTCTCACTGTTTGAAAACACTGTGTAGGAATGTAAAGCAGGTACTACAGCACGTGACAGCTCAGGAATGGATGTCTATCACACCAAACTCTTGTCAAATGTGTTTTCCATCATCTGGCTTCACCTTCTTCTCTTCTAGTAAAGTACTGTGGAGTGAAATCTTTGGCTTGCAACTACTTGTAGCATCTCCTTGCCTGATACTAAGAAGCAGTAAAGCAGCATTTAGTGTCACTAGAGGTTCTTGACTGTAATCAGTAAAGCTGGACGTTGGGATCTTACCCAGAGTTGTGCTGTAATTTCTAGCTCTGAGGAATGCTCCTTCTTACTTTTGCAGGTCCATCTCCTCCACCACTTACCTCTTCCAAGAATGCAAGGCTTCGGGAGTCCTCTGGCAGCAAGAAGCATGGGCATCTTTGCATCCTTTCAGGATGAAGGAGCTAGACTCAAAAGAAGCATTTTGTGTGTGCGTGTGTGTGCTTAAGTGAAAAGACTTAAGCAAGCTAAATGAGCAGACCTGTGCTTACAGAGTGGCAGACCTCGTGCCGCAGGTGTGGTTAGTGCCAGTGGTACAGAATGGGCTCCCATCCTGGGAACTGCCCAGTGTTAATGGGCAACCACCACTCCAGTTTTGAGACTGAAAATGTGCTGCCAAAGACTCAGTAGACCCAGACCCAAGCTTAGAAATGCTACTAATACACTCACACTTCATTTTAGTCTTTCCCCTCTCCTCGCTTCCCTCCTGTTCTTCTTGTCGAGCCCAAATATCAAGAGTTAATGCAGGCACTTGGTGTGATGCAAAATGTAAAATGAATTAGCAATAATATAAATCTGAAATGCAGGTATGTGGAGATATATTTAAAGAGAAAACTTCTTCAATATATTTGAGTTGCAACTGGTACATGAGTGCATGGGCAAGAAATAGTATTTTCAACTCATCTTACCAGACTCCCAGTCATGGAGCCAGCTGTACTGGCAACAGGATGGTAAATGTTGGCCTGGGGCTGGAGGTTGTGTTCACATCTCTTGGGACCACCCGGGAAATAAAAAATCACCATTATTGTGATGGTGTAGATGTAATTCATGTTATTTGCTTGGTAACATTCATGTGTCCTTGATCAATACTTTGTGGGGGAGAGAGAGAGAGAGCACGCGTAGGGAGCAGGCAGTTGCAGGGTATATGGCAACTGTAGGCCAAATAAGCATTTGCCTTCTCAGGCCAGGCATACTCCAATAGCCAAAGCAACCAGAAACAGGTGATCTGACCTTTTAAAATCAATAGCATCACTGTCCCCACGCCTTCCAGGGGACAAAGTGTATTTATAAAAACAGATTCTTCTGGATCATGTTGCACATTTCAGTTTACCTTTTGGTATAAAGGTCTTATTTAAATGGTGTGTGTGTATATATATATCAATTAAAGAGAATTCAATCATTACTTTACCAAATTTTGGTCTCATCTGACCTGACAATTCCCATTCTAAGACCTGTATTTTTGGTATAATTCTTGTCAGAGTATCATCTTCTGAATATAAAAGCTTCAAAAGGTTTAAACTGCTATTGCCACTGTCCTGTATTCAATAGAAGAAATATATTTTTACTGCAATGGAAAATAACTTGTTTCGTGCTTCTCACGTATTATCTTTATTAAACATTTGGACAGATACGCATCCATTTATTATATAAATAATCTATGGCTTCTTAGTTCGCAAATGCTGGTTGAAAGTTCACGAGAGCAGGCTTTTCTGTGAACTTTCTGTATTTATAAGTTCAGTCACTGCAATAAATCCTGAGACTATTGCCTGCTTAGCAGCATTTTGCACTGTACCCCAATGGCTAAAACAGGGAAGCTGGGAGCTCTACATCTGAATATTTCAAAGCCTCTGAACAGCTTGATTGGAGTTTGATTTTCTTCTTAAATAATACAAGTTGTTCTGAAGAGAACGTATAATCACAATTATCTGAGAGTCAAATCCTTGGTGGCTTACACAAAGCTCCACTACCGCTAATAGAGGTTTCATCTGAGCAAAGCTTATTGCAGCATTTTGTAGTTGCTAGAAAAAAAGTGTTCTTTATGCGTGCTGTAGTTCAGAGCTGTAAGGTCTTTGTGAATGGTTACTCTCAAAGCGCTACAGAAGTTCCCCGGTTCAAGGTGGCTCCTGGCTCCTCGGAAAAATGAATGTGGGGTTCCAGCCTGGGAGGAGAGAAATAAGTGAAAAAGGAGCATCCTTGGGCTAGGCAGGACAGGTCTGCCTAGTGCAGCTCTGCAGCCAGGACCAGTCAGTGCTAAGCTGGTTCAGGAGAAGGAAGAAAGGTGAGTGCTGACCCCAGTAAACACAATGAGCATCCATGAATCCAATTCTCAATCACAGTAAAAGCTCTTCCAGCCCTATTTGTCAGAGCAAAAGGATTTTCAGATTATAAAACTGGGAGTCGCTATGTGGTCACCTAACCACATAATTTAGGACACAGAACATCCTTGAATTTGATCCAGTTTAAACTTGAGTACATCTTTTAGATTAAAAAACCCAACAACATCTACTCTTGATTTAAAAATTACTCATGGTAGAAAAGCCACAATAACCTATTCCGATCCACGCTAGTAGCTAAGTATTTCCCTGGTGAAATGCGTAGCCTCTTCCTCCTGCACATTTGTCCAACTCCAGCCGCCAGATCTTTTTATATCTTTATATATCTTTTTATATCTTTATTGAAAGAGCGTTAGTCCTGAAGTAAATGCTTACCATCTGTAACCGGTTAAACCTTTAACCTTTTCTTGATACGCTTAAAAGACTGCGTACCTACAACTTCTACCAGAATGTGCTTTCCAGTCTTTTGGTTGCTCTCAGAGCTGTTGCCCGCACCCGCTCTGGTTTCCAGGCAGTCTTTAGGGGTGCCTGAAGCAAACACCGTGCTTCAGAGCTCAGCACACGTATGGAGGAAACAAGGCCTCCCTGCCAAAAATGCATATTCCCAGGGGTCACATCAGTTTTCGACCAGTTTTACTCCTGGAGTTCATGTCCAGCTGATGCCCTGGACACGACCTGGCGTGTCCTGTTTAAGCTCACTGCTCCCAGGTGGAGGGTGCTTCAGACTTTTTCTTCCAGAGTTCCTTTAATCCTCATTACATATGATAACCCTAATCTTGGTAACATCTGCCAATGTTTTAAGTGATGATTTCATTCTCTTACCGGCCCTTAATACTACCTCTGTTACCAGTAGTAAAATTAGTACCGTATTTTTGCAGGACACTATCAGAAACAAAGCTGCTCACTGCTGAACTGTTCAACTGCAGAAATGTTAGCTAGTATCATTGTTACAATGTATAGTTTCATTTCCCTGAAGTCACACATTCTTATTCACTTCATGTCTAAGATATTATATAGAATTACTGTGCTGCATTTTCAGCTCAGAGAGGTCTCTCTCAAGTGATGTAAGGAAGGTTGGCAAGAAGTCATACTCTCTGTTTCTATCATGCTTTTCAGGTGAGAGTGCCAAAGTTATTTATTAAATAATCAGCTCCATAAACTAATTGAAATAATACATTCTGCATGTACTAATTGAAATAACGTATTATATGTAGGTGAAATGAAAGCCACAACAAAGATAAATAAAGTTTCACAAGAATTTAGTGACAGATCATGAAGAAGACCCTGGGAGAAACGGGGAAACAACTCTCCGGTTCCTTGCTTTATTCATAAAGGTAAATTCACTCTCTTTCTTTCTGAAACTGGTTCATACTCAGTGTTGGCTCTACATGTCAACTCCACCTCTTTTCCCTCTTTCGAATGCTGAGCATCTTTTGATGTGTTTGATAAGTTTCTATTAAACAATTCCCATCAGAGTGCCAAAAAGACACATGTATCACATACATAGAAAAAAATCTCATGGCTCTTCTTCCACATGGACTTCTGCAAAAATAACCAGCTACAAATAAGCAGGGATGCATATTTTCCATGATTCATGCCGCAGAACCCACCATAGACTGTGGGACTGTTGTACAGAATCTGAGCTTTCACAGAAAAAAACGTTACCAGGCAGTCTGAAGGAAAGGGAAGCCTTCCCAAACAGGAACTGAACATGAATCAAGTTGGGATGACTCAGATTGTTTTTGTGATTCTGCAGAGAGACAATCTGAGATAATAGCTGGGTTATGTGAACTATTGCTATAATTTATTACAATAAAAATTCAAAATACAATGACTTATATTACTGTTGCGAGTTGGGTTTTACTTTTACTATGTATATCAAGAACACTGTAATACTTATATTTCTAGCCCCTCTGTGTGATTAAACACATAGAAAAATATTTATAAAAGCCCTCTGTATGCTTCATAGCCAACATGCAAAGTTTTATCCTAACAAACATAGTAACATCCCTTTTGCAGGCTCGGTGAAGCACATTTTGATAAGAAGACAGTACTGTCACAGCAGGTCTGAGTTACGGAGGTAGGTAGCCAGCCTTAGGACACCAAGGAATTTATAATACAATTGTTACGTGTTGAAGATTGAAGCTTATGACAGAACAACATTTCCTTTCCAGATGGTGAAAAAAAAAAAAAAACAACTGGGAAAAATAAGCCCGAGTCTTTGCTTAAATATATAAATTAGATTTGTGCTGCTTTTGATACAAAGAAAGAAAGAAACCCAGGCTATTTCTGTTTCACAAAATAGAATTAGTGCCCAGGTGTTGTAGCTAGTGTAGTGTAGGCGGCACAAAGTATCAGTACAGCTAAAGGACATATCTGATGTTTGTGTGGTGTACAGGCAGGTTAAGTAAATGGTTTTAATTTAACCGACCAGATCCCATGACTCAAGGTGAGAAAAATTCTTCTTTAGTGCTGTACTCCATCCTTTGCCAGAAAGCTGTTCCCAATCAAAACTATATTTATCCATTATTTACCAGTTTAGTCAACTGAGGACAAGTTGTTCTGAAAATACTTGTTTAAATCAGCCAGCCAGGCAGCAAGAAGAATAAGGAGAGGAAAGAAAAAACGCAACAGAAACACGTCTAAAATTCCAGGGGAAACCTTTCTGTTGACTTTATCAGGATTTGGCCAAGATCTGCAGTCAACAGATGAGAATGACGGCTATTAAAATCAGGGAAAG